CAGTATGAAACCCAAAACCCACCAGGAAGGTGTTTACAGAGTTAAAAGCAAAGAGCTGTTTTCCCATAGACTTCAATGGGACTGGAAGCCTTAGTGTAGCCACAGATATCGCCCCCTGCAGGCTCAAATGTTCAGACTCAGAAGCATTCATCTGTTTTACTGTCTACTGAGGTTTCTCATGTGACGCCATAGACACACTGCTCGAGAGTTCACTATCACATTGGACATGTTACAATCACTGGTGGCTATGAAAAAACAGTATCCCTGCTGGCTGGCAGTGGTTCCAGGAGGTTTCTGGCTCTCACTGGATGGAATCAGTTGCAAAGAAGCTGCTGCTGCTGATTGCTTTGGTTGCTAGTGGACTGTCAAGGTTGGCTGCAGTTTTTTATGTTTCTCAGCAAAACATGCGCTAACTACTTACCTGCTAGTGACGAAAGCAATCCCGAGAAGGTTTATATAATATTAGTTGATTGGGAAATACATGCTTCCACTCTCTAGGCCTGTCTGACCTTCTATACGCAATCCTACATTAACAGCATGACTGTCGCGTCTTGAAAATGGTGAAGTCACGTGGTTAGTGGTCACATGTCTGCAATACCTCAATAGGAACAAACCAAATGGCAATGCAAAGGCTGATGTTGTAAAGAATCTGTTATTATATTCCAAAGGCTTTGAGGTATATGTAAAATGCTGGTATGTGCACCGAATGCAATAAAAAAACAACATAATATATATTTAAATACAATCTAATTATGCTGTAACTGTGTGCAACTCTTCAGCTGCTATTTGCATTCAACATAAATGCAGTTTAATTAAAGTGTAGACTTTCCACTGAAATAAAGTGATGAATTTGAATATTTGTGGAAGATTTCATTGTCATAAAGGTGCAACAAAAGCAGACACTCCAACTATAATCAGTCCCATAATTAAGCGACAAAGTCATGAAAGCAGTGCTGTGATAACGAGATAATGAAATCAGATTTACAAGTAAACAAAGTATGATTTTTTGACATAACAGGATAATTAAGTTATGAGGTAACAGGAGTGAAGTAAAAATTAGTAGATATATTCAAGACGTTTATAAGACTTCACAAACGAGGCTTCAAGGGGTGAAAATACATCAAGAAGAGAGCCCAGAGATGCACAGCCTGTTCTTTTATTTATCATTTGTGTCTCATAATTTTCACAACACTTAATGAAGCTTTAGCAAGACAAGCGCCACAAAGCATATGCCATTTATAATAAAAATGTGGGAGATGGGAGAAAAGTCTGCAGGCGTTTATGGTTTTATGGTTTCAAATTTCTCCCTCTTCCTCTCTCTTTTATGTTCCAAGCCAAAGACCCCACGCTGTGCACACGTTACCACCCATGCAGTGTTTGTGTCACGATGACCACTGGCTGCTGCTAGATTCATGAGTTTAATCCCTGGAAGTGCTCCAAGCATCCACTTTGCTGCTGTCCTGTCCTCTCAACCAAACATCAAACTCTTGCCTATA